GGGGCTTCCAGCTGCTGTTTTCTGCTGCTGCCTTCCCCTGGGTCCTGCTGCTGCTGGTGCCTTGTTGTCTTGACAGGCAGCCAGGGGCAGGTAAGAATTAATTTTCTAATTTTTAAAGGCCCTGTGGGACGGATAAAATGGCCTGGCAGACTGGATCTGGCCCACGGGTCATATTTTGTGCACCTCTGCACTAGAGTCTGCTGGTGCACAGTGATTACCATGCTCCAGCGGACTTGGTTAATTGAGTCTGCTCTGACATGCTGTAATTACAGTGCATCCGACCAGCTTCACTATATATGTATAGGTGCTCTTTATGATTTGAGCATAGGTGATGGAGATAGCAGAAATGTGGAACACCCATTGAATATTTTACTTTAGTGTACTGAACAAGTATAGCAGCCTTAAAAGTGAATATGACATTTGTGTTGTGAACTTATTATTAGTACTGTATATATACAGTTGACTAGCCAATTGCCCATCAAGAATGACAAGGAGGGAGGGGGAGGGGGCTGGGATGGAGTGCCACCACCTAATGCCCCATGCTGCTGCTGTTCTACCTCTTACAGGGAGCAGGGTTCTGCCTCTTACAGGGAGCAGGGTGGGGGACCGAAGCCAGTGCAGCTGGCCTCGGCTCCCCCACCCCCTGTCTGGTCCTTAGTGCCGCTTGGGAATCATGGCAGCTTGCCCCCATGCTTGGAGCACTCTGATTGGCTGGTGGAAATGGCCAGTCAGAGTGTGAATAAAGTGTTACAGACAGACAAACAGACTTAGGCTTTTCTAATATTAGAATAATGTTAAACCAGAATTCATAATGAAAATCTTATATTAATAGTAGAAAACACCTTAAACCAGTGGTCTCCAACTGTTTTATGATGATCACTTTTTGGAACTAAAGGTCATCCCAGGATCTACCGTGCCCCTGGACCACGGAGTGTCACAGACTTGGCCGGGCTGGGGCGCGATCCCACTTCTGTGCCGTGACTGCATTGAGCTGCACCCACCTGGCAGCCAGAGGAACATGGCATTGGCCGGATCTGGAAGTGTCTGCGGTCCAGGGGTACAAGGGGTGCTCATGCTGCTGGGCACAGTCTGGCGGAGGCTCTGGGGTCCTGTGCCCCCCCCCCCCCACCTGTGCTCAGTACAAGGTAGCTGCTGCTGCAGGATGCCTGCTGCGCTGCAGGCACAGGTGGGGGGGAGGGGTACAGGCCCTCAGGGCCTCCACTGGGCTGCACCTGGTGGTGGGAGCCCCCCCGGCCCATGCCCTTAGACAACCAGACTTGGCTGGGCTGGGGCTGCCTCCACTGCTGAGCTGTGCCCACATGCGGCCATATGCAGTGGGACTTGAGGCACAGCAGCAACATCCTCTGCCACCTCTACCCCCACAGAGTTGGGGAGGGAGTCCCCCTCACCCCACCGCCTGACTGGGCTGAGGCCCCATTTACCTCCCCCTGCTTCTGGCTGGGCTGCACAGTCAGCCGCTCACTATGGGGTCCTTGATCTGGCCCCTGCCCCTTCCCTCCCCTACTGATTGACCTGCTGGGGCTGGGGGTGGTGGGTGTGCACATCTGTGCCTGCCCAGCTGTCCCCCCAGCCCAGGATCTACCAAAAGAGGCTCCAGGATCTACCTGTAGATCAGGATCCCCATGTTGGTGACCACTGACTTAAACTTAGATTCCTAGTTAGGTAGATCTAAATGCAAACTGTACAGAAGATCCAGGAAGGTTACATTGGTCAAGGAATGGCCAACCTAATCTAATTTAACTGTACCTCAGAGATGTGCTAAATTAGCTTGGATGCGGTTAGATGGATCTAACTGAACTTCTGTATGCACTCCAAGCGCAGTCCTGGGGCTGTGAAAGCCCATCTCCTAGCCTTAGCCCCAGGCTATATTTTCTCAGTTGTTCCCCCCCCCCCATCTGGACCTGAGCTGTTGGGTTGGTTGGGAGTGATGACGAGTCTGTTATTCATTTTAGTGCCTTTCTAAAAGAGAGCCAAAGTACCCAGCACTTGTGAAAAAAGGATGATGTCCTTGCTCAATAAATCATGTTTGGCACTATCTAGATGTGTTTCTCAGCACCTGTCCATCTACTTCTAGGTGTACCTGTGCATAGCTATTGCACTAGACAACAACTTCATGCTGGCAAGAGAGCAAAAATCTTTAGAAAAGTCCCAACTAAATATAGTCCTCCTTCATGTACTCAACTAGGCCTGAATTGCTATTGGTTTCACAGAACTGGGGAGTGTTCAGCCTCTCTAAAACCGAGCAAAGATGTCTCACATTGAGCACCCAAAATTTAGTGGTTGTCCCTGAATTTTGTTTGAAATGTCTGTAATGCTATCTGTAAAGCATGAAGCTTGATAACAAGAAGCTGTTGATACAAGAGCCCTCTGAATATAGATTTTTATATTAAAATGGATTGACAGCAATACTTTTCAGCTGTCTGGGTATCTCGATCAGTTGCCCAAATAGTAGCTGGAGCAGATCAAGTGGTGATCAGTGTTTGAAGTTGTCAGAAGGCTATGCTGACAGGCTGGGTAGTGGCTCTGTAGGCTGGATCTGGCCAGTGGATGGACCATACTATTGACACCCCTGACTTAAGGAGGATAGCAGTTGTCTGAAAGCAAGACATTTACAAAGCTGTTATGGAAACAGTGTAAAGCTATATGGAAACAGTGAGGGCCAAGAGTGTTAAATGAGTGAGATTTTCAAAGCAGTCTGTGATATCAGTACATCTTCCTGTAAAATATGAAAGCTGCACTGTCTCCTTTATATTGCTTTGAAAATGTTAGACAGTGTTTTAAACTTTTAAAGAGTAAATCAATTTTTAAAGCATAATTAAAACATGAGAAATTTATTTTATTTACAGCTTCTTTGTAATACTGGGCATGCTGAAGAAAAATTAGGCTTTACCTATGACAGCATCATAATATGGTAAGTAGCTCAAAGTTATGAAATAATATTTGAACCTTTTAAAATAGCTCTATTTGAGATTAAAACACCAATTGTATTAGTTTTTTAATTAAAATAAGATAAAGGACTTTATCATGTTTAAATATTAAATATGTAATTTTAAAATCGCATATAATTTGTAAATTTAAATACCAGGTATATTTTTTTATCCTTTTTAATGTTTAAACACAAGTGCAATTTAATTAAGGAAATAGGAAAGTTGTAATTTATATGTGAATGGAAATGAGAAATGAACAGGATTTCTAGTAAAATGCAATTTCATACTGAATTGCGCATGAATGCAAAGTAAAATAATGTTTTGAAAGCTGTCTCAAAGCTTGCAAAAAGCATGTGAAGTGACAGCTTGGCCCCATTAGAGTTAATTGCAAATTTGCTGTGTCTTCAGTAGGACCAGGATTTAATTCCTATACTTCTACAATAGTTCAATATGCTTGGTAAAGAGGCTTTTGTAGTATTATTCTCTTCTGCTAATAAGCTAAACCTGTGTAAACTTTCAAGGGGAATTTTGCCACAGTATTATCATTATTTCCTAGAACTAAAATAATAATAACAATAATAATAATAAAACTTTGCTTGTATTAACCCCCTAGTTTTCTGCACAGGCATGGATAGATTGTCCGTGGTTTTATCATGGGCAACAGAAACAGTAACTGTTCAACCTAATTGTACTTTCATTCAATTTAGACAAAACCTTTCTAACTTTAAGAGAAGGATGCAATAAAGCCAATAATTTGGGCATAAATTGCCTTAACTTTTAGGGAATTTTGTTTGAGTTCTTACAGAAATGTTATGTAATTGACTGTATTTGGTAAACAGACCATATTTCAACTTTTTTGTAAATGGTACCAGGATTTTCCCTGATGGAACTATGTTCTTTAATCACTTCTGTTAAATACTTTTCTGTTTAATGCACCTTTTTGTGTGACCTGCAATATTTCATTATTTTGTGAGTGGAATGACCTTCTTTTCCCCATAGCCAAGAGATAAAAAATCAAGATTTTCATAAGGATAGTGCCTCTGAATCAGTTCACAAATCTGTCTGTTTTGCCTGTTTGTTTCTGGTAGCAGATGATTTAGAGGAAGGTGTAAAACCTTTATAGTTGGCAGATGTAAAATAATTTGCCTACTCCAGGTCTTCATATCTGGAATCCTGATTAGTCTTGTTGCTGTTTTTCTAAACTTCTTTCTAGTTTGACAATATCTTATTGAGATGGGGTATAATGTACTCTATCATACTGTACGTGGTATTCCAGATAAAACCTGACTCTTGATGTATATCAAAGTGATCATAATATTCTTTGTAACACTCAGTATCGCATGTCATGCTTGCTAGCAAGTTAATTTCTGCTGATCACTGATACCTATAGTGATGCCCTGGTTCCTTTTGTAATTTATAATTGCATGCTATTCTCCAGTTCTCTTAGACAGTGGCTGTATTTGAGTGCACATTTTTGGAGAGAGCTAAGGTATTTCATAGGGCAGTTCCTTCAGAATCATTGGATACATCTTATGGGCTTAGTGACCGACAGCTTTTTAAATTAGGTATTCATTTGTTTCAACTCTTGTCACTTCCATCTCTGAAGCTGCAAACAGATGTTGCATTTATGCCACCATATACATTTTTATAGTGTCACAAAGCGAAATCAAACAGGCATCCATGCTCTTTTTTTTTTTCTGCTGCAAATCCCCATATTTGTGGGTAGATTCCCCTACAAGGGAGTTCACATGGGATTGGGTCCCTGAAGTGCTGAGCATGCCTGCCTGGGTCTCCCTGTTTGTAGAGGCATACCTCAAGTCAGAATCCCAAGGCATGCCTCTGCAAACCAGGAGTCCTGGGTTTGCCACTTGCAGAGGTGCACCTGGCACCATTAAGGGATTCCTTGGGTGTGCTCTGGAAGGAAGGAAACCCAAAGTTCCCTCATTTGCAGAGGCATACCCAAACTGTTGTCCCCCAGGATCAGGGCCCTGAAGCCCTGGGAGCAGCATGGGGCCAACCCTGGAAGAAGACAAGAAATGCCTGTTTTGCCCAGTGAAGCCCACTGACACGTCCCAGCACAGCATATCTAATTCATTTGGCATAGTCTGTTTATAGCTTGAGTCTATTTATCTTTACTGCCAACAAAGAACAATTTCAGAGTAGATATCTCTCAATTTTTCTTGGTCGGAAGGACTTCATGTAAAGAAACCTTTTAGTTTTGCAGCAATATTCTTACTCTTTCATTGCTTTCTTATGACAGATAATCCAGCAGACTACTTTCAGGCTTCTTGTTTCTGATTAAATATATTTTTTTACTCTTGTTTTTTATGCCTTTGAATATATCAAATTTCAATTTTGTTTTCACCCTTCTAATTTCCCTCTTCGTGATTGCCCACACTAAGTCATATTCCTGTTCCTGTTCATGGACTTTGCAGTGCCCACTTTCTGTTTTTCAAATAAGCTTTCAAACTTTACTATGTTGCTGCATTGGTTTACTACTTTTCCCTGCATGTTGCTTTTTGTCTGAGATTTTATTATAGTGGAAGCCATGTCATTGTGGATTTTACTCCCGTTAACATTAATTTTTTTACTGAAGTCTTCCTTTCTAAAGTTCATGTTAGCGTCACTTTTTGGTACCTGCTTCCACTTTCATAGTTGAGCTTAATTATAATGTTGTCATTCTTAAATGGCTTAGCTACTGTGACTTCTTGAATTAGCTCCTTTGTGTTACTTTAGGTTAAATTCAGACATCCTCTTTTTGTGACTTCTAGAACTAGTTTCTCAAGAAACAAACACTTGACCAATTATAATTAGTCTTCTATTATAAAATATAGCCCAAAAATTTATAATGTAGTGAGAAACATCCACTAGATCAATATCTGGGAATCCTATTCCAGGAATTAGAACAAGACGTCAGAAGTTTTCTTTGTGCATTGTTATGTCCTTGACTATATCTTCTGATGTCAAAGGAAAATAGATGGTCTGAGATTTGCTGAAGTGATGAATGTTGAAAAGCTGTAGGGTTTTTTTTCTGCTACTGAACTCAGCACTTTTATGGACCACACAAAACGTAGAAATAAAGATATGACTGAAAAGGGTTCTCGAGTCATTTGGGTCCATTCTTCAGGCTTCCACATCTATAAGTTGTCTTGTAGTTGAGTGACAGTGCTAGAATTTCAGGGCATCGTCCATAGCCTAAACATTCCCTGTTTCTTAAATACACATAAGAAGAACCTGGAAGTTTTGACCAGCCAAGCTGACATGGAACTTAAACCAAGTACCAAGTTTGCTTACTACTCCTTTATTTGAACATTTTAGTACATCAAAGGATATTCTTCTCCTAAGAGTACTAACAGACGTGAAAAGACCATGCTGTACCAGAAGAAGCAACGCGTTAGTTCAACCTGGCTCTGCAGCGTCTATAGAGATTGAGTGCTTCAGTGGAGCTTTTGGCACTTTTATTTAATAGCTGATTGAATCAGCTATTAGATAAAAGTGCCAAAAAGCTGTGCTGAAGCACCTAATCTATACAGACGTTGAGCAAGCTGGGTCAAACTGTGATGCTTCTTCCAGGCTTGGCACGGTGGCACATGGAGTTTAAAATAAAGGGCCGCTTTTTTGTTTTGTTACGTCTATAAGAAGCCTAACTGTTCAGAATCTGCCATCCATTCAGCTACCAGAGTAAAAATAATGTGCAGGCCCCCTCTTCCTACTAAAAAAAAATGTTTTGCTCCCCCTTGGCCCCCTCCCTGGTTGTTCTTAGAGTATCACTTGCCTTTTTTTTAATTCTTAATTTTTAATTTTAAAAATTCAGCTGAAGTCTAGACTTATCTGTACTGAAGAGAAACAAGGAAAAAAACCCCCCAAAACACTCAGTATATTCACAGCATATGCTGACAAGGGAGAATTTACTCTAGTAGATAGGTGGGCATAAATCTCCAAAGGAGCAAATAAAGTAAGGTAAATTTCTCTCAATTTTAAATTTTTACTCATTTTTATGCGAGTACATAGGACTTGTTGTTCAGGTGACAAACTCCACCAGTTGCTATAATTTAATTTTTCCTTTCCTTTCTTCACCATAGTTTGCGGCTAGCTTTACTAAATGAAGCAAAAGAGGTGCGAGCAGCAGGGTTGCGAGCCCTCCGCTATCTCATCCGGGACTCCAGTATTCTACAGAAGGTGCTAAAATTGAAAGTGGATTACTTGATAGCCAGGTAATTTAAATTGAAGAAACTTTATTTAATTTTGGTTTAACTAACTGATGGGGCCTTTTTTGGAAGGTAGCTATTTTCTTTGATTTGGGTAGTTCCCATTTTTTTAAACATTAATACATAAGCACCAAATAAATCCAGAAAAAATGCTGCTACATAATATGATACCATGAGGAAATAAAGAACGTGAAATGTTTTCAAAGTCAAGTTTAAGGTGATCCTGAAAAACAGGCACTGCATAAGTCTGATTATTCCCTGGTGTCACTCCTATTCAGAATGTATTGGTTGAGTATCTTAATTGTATTTTTATATTCTAAACTTAAAAAAAAATGTAAACATAATGACTATAATTGAGGGCCCTGCCACATGTTACATATAGTACACAATTAACTGGTTAATCACACATTAAATCTAGACCGGCCACAAATGCAAAGTAATTATCACACCATAAAAATGTCCATCTAGCTTTAAAGAGAGTTGGCTGCTACAAAGTTAGTGCTTGAAGATGTGCAAGCTTTATAGCTGGTTTCTGTCACACTTTAATTTGAATGTGTCATGGCCCAAGTTTTCTTGAGTTTATTAGTATGACTTGTGTATCCGAGGAGCCCTGCTTCATGGATAAGGACTCCATCATGCTTGGCACTGGTCAAACAAAAAACAAAAATGTCCCAAAAGTTTACAATATAAGAGTAAACAAGAGGCAACAGATTTAAAAAAAGAAGAAAACAAGGAAACAATGAGAGCTATTTATATTTCCTAGTGTCTGTTTTCTTAGTTTATTCAGAAGTTGTTACCGTTAAGGTTCAGTGTATTCCATTTATATGAATAGCTGATGAGTGCATAATTTTCTTAACTGTATAACATAGGGCCTATAGTTCTGGTTTGATTCCATATAACAAACATTGCTTGAGTACATAAATTCAAGTAAGCAAAAAAAGAAGACCATAAGAAGAAACTTGCCAGAGACATCAAATGTAATAACAAAAAATGTCTTAAGTGTATTTAGATGCACGCAGACTGCCAAGGATTCAGTGGGGTCATTGGACAGCTGGAGAGTAAAAGGAGCACTCAGAAAGGATAAGGCCATTGCAGAGAAGCTAAATGAGTTCTTTCCTTCTGCTTTCACCTTGGGGATGCTGGGGTGATTTCTGTGCCACAGCCACTCATTGGCAGGACACCAGGCAAACCCATTAAAATTGAATCATAGGGTTGGAAGGGACCTCCAGTCATCTGGTCTAACCTCCTGCATGAATGCAACTGAAGTCACACCTGACAATGTTTATCCAAGCTCCCCTTGAAAACCTCCATCGAAAAAGGTTTCACAACTTCCCTGTGCAGTCTGTTCCAGTACCAGTTCTAACAGCATTTTTTTCTAATATCTAATCTATATCTTTGCTGCATTTTAGAGTGACTGCTTTGTGCCCTACCCTCTGGGACAAGAGAGAATAGTTGTTCTTCCTCCTCTGTATGACAGCTTTTCAAATATTTAA